GCCCGCTCCTAGGTAGTTGGGCTCCCGCTCCTCTTGTTCCAGAAGGTTGGTAGATTCGATCTGAGCAGCTAGGAGTGCCCACTCCTTAATGAGTGCACGGCCGCTCCTCACAGGTTTAGAAGCATGGCAGAATTATGAAACTTTGCAGGAGCGCCCGCTCCTGGGGAGGTGCACGCTCGCTCCACCAGGAGCGGCCTCTCCCTCCATCACATTCAGCCTCCATTCTCAATCCATGAACTTCCTTGCTTTGCCTCACTTCACCTATACCTGCAAATTAAGTACACAAACACACAAGGAGGTGGGGCAAAGCCAAAATGCAACATTTATCAAAAGGGGTTAGAAAGAGGGGAAAAGATTACAAAACTGGGTTAAAATCACCACAATAAGTGGTCAAATAAACCACTTATCACTTGCGACTTGACTCGCATAGGCCCAAGCGGTCATGGGGGATCAAAGGTAAGAGCCATACCTTCATTTCCAGGTTGAGGGGTCATCCCACCCCCAGCCGCATTGGAACCGATCACTACAGCAAGCTGCCGGCTTGAGGGAGTTTCAGGCTCCCTCGTCTCAACCTCAGCTGGCCCTGTGTTTAGGCCAAGGTCTTTCAGGCTCTTGCCTGCTGAGGTGGGCCTTTTAGGCACAAGCGGCCTTCCGGAAGAGGGAGGGACAACCGTAGTCCTCCTAGACTTAGAAGGTGGCTGGGAGGGCTCCTCGCCCGATCTTTTTAGCACCTTTGTTAGGGAGCGAGGAATGTTCTTGCTCTCCGTCTGAAAAAGAAACAATGCAACCGGATAATATCAGAATTGACATCAAACTATACGGACGGTAATATCAGCCGGAGCTTACCCCATCATCCTTGGCCGCCAGTTGGGCCCTCTTCTTCTCAAACTGATCCTTCTGGGTCTGAGCAACCGATTTAGCGGGTGTCTTCTCTGGAGGCACCATCTCTAATCCTTTCTCTACAAAGAAAAAATCAAAAAAGTCAAAATATATAAAAGCATGATACAAACGGCATAAAGTGCCGGTTATCAGTCAACATACGTTTGCTAAACATTGTGCTAAGGCCACAGGCGGAAAGGAACGCCTCGTCCTTTAGCTAGTCCGGATGAGGGACCCAGTTTTTGGGGACAATGACTTCAGTCCCTACATCCAAAGGCAGGGAGGTCTTCTTGAAGAGCCCCGTCTCCATTATTTGCATCCAAGCCTCTTCCGGTACTTTAGGAAGGGCGCATTTCTATCCAAGGAGAGTCGGGTGCTTATTGTAGTAACGCAGTCGGTGGTTTAGACGCAACGATGGGGAAGAAACCAAGTAAAACTTTCTCTTCCAGCTGCTCCACTTTGACGGCATGTCAAGCGTCATCATGTATTCCGGATGCGTAGTCAACGTATACCACACATTCCAGTCGCCTGGGACACGACTGAGGTAGTGCATATGTGCAAACGCCTCCCAGCTAGGCGTTATGTCCTGCATCTCGCAAACGCCAATGTATCCTAATATATTCACCCAAGATTTGGGTGCTAACTACCAAACGCCAAGGTCGTAGCCTCTTAGAATGGCTTTTATTGTATTATGGAGGGGGAACCGGAGGCCGGCTTTGAATGCCGCCTCATAACAGCCGAAATAGTCGTCGGCATGATCAAGGTCGTCATCCTAGACGACGGTTTCCTCTACAGGCGGCACCACAATTTCCCATCCTACCCCAACCGGGCGCTTCTGTAAAAATCCGGGTAAGGTAGCGTTTAGAGTGACCACATCCCTGGCGGTCATGTGCGCCTCTGTTGGATTATTGATGGAGGGCCATTTATACGCCTCCTCATCCCCTTGGGGGGCATCCGGTTCCAAGGTAGACTCTGAAGCGTCTGATTGTTGGGCGGTCTCTTCCAAAATATCATCACTGGGTGTGCTAAGTACACCCAGATGGTCATAATGTACAATGTCAGCCAGGGCTTCGGCTGAGCCGTCTGATTGGTATTCGGGGTCTACAGTTGTCCGTCTCGTCCGAACCATTATGTCCTGCACATGAACAGAGTCGGTCGGATTCGCAGAAGAGTAAGGGTGGTCCAAACACCCCCAGACGACATCCCCAGTCCTAGACTCAGCCGTACCCGGTGACCGGCTGACAACTGTCCTAGGCCGTGCCGTGTGTGTGTTGGGTGAGTCCATTATTCTTTACAAGCTATACAACCGAAAAATCTCAAAAAGTTGCAAGGGGTAGAGACGGTACCTTGAAGATTCTTTGAGTGTGGGGAAAGTTGGCTATCTGGATCAACAGCCGGAAATCTTTGTGTTGCTTGCTAGATACCCAGACGGTTGCCCGGATATACCCACTTGAAGAGCAGCTGAAAATTGTTGAACAACCCAAACGTTCCTCTGAAGCGTTGCTTGATGATACCCCAGACGGTTGACCGGCTGTGGATGTATTGAAAGCAAAGGGAATCAGTCAAAGGACCCCCAGGCGGTTCTAATGTGTTTTGGGTGATGAGCACTCAGACGGTAACCGGTTGAGTGAAGAAAAGGAATACGGTTGCGCAAGAAATAGCAGCCGGTATCATAGCTTTTTTCTCTCAGAAAACTTCTCAAAAATTGCAAAGTGTGAAAATGAGGGGAGGGGGTCTCTACTTATAGAGAACCCTAGAAGGCGAACTGTCACATTCCAAATTCGAATTCAAATTCAAAAAAAAAAAAGGAGAAAGAGAGAGAAGGAGACGAAACGTCACCTTCTCAGAGCATGACACCTGTCACAGGTGCCACGTGACAAGCCACGACACACTTGTGAGGGGCAAATGTTTAGGGTAAAAATACCCTGTCCACGTGGACCAATCGCGTGCTGACATGTGTCAGCATCAGAGAGGTTCTGAGAGAACCAACCCCCTGGTGACACGTGCCACTCCAACCCATGAAAGGGAAACTGATCCCCTTACACTATAAATAGAGGAAAATCCTCATTTATTGGACATTTATAAAATATAAACAAAAAACCCGAGCAATATTAATTGCAGAATTCTCTCGGAATCCGAGAGAAAAACCTTTACATTCCACACTTTTATACATCCGGATACGTTCTAACTTGATCGTCGGAGGCAGAATTCTACCCAACCGGAGTTTTCCGTGGTTTTGCAGGTACAGACGGTCGACGCACATTCTTGGAATTGTAACTCTCCCGAGGGACTCCAAAAACCCCGAGACAAAGGGAGTAGTAAAAATGGGCGAAAATCAAGCAAGCCGTTTTGAACATTTCAAAACTAATTAAAATGTGTGAAGTGAGCTTCGTAACTAAATTGTCTCATAAAACTAGACCTTTAGTTACGACAATCCGTTTTGAACATTTCATAATTAATTAAAATGTGTGAAGTGGGCTTTGTAACTAAATAGTCTCATAAAACTGGACCGTTAGTTACGACATAATAAAAAAAAAACCACACCACGCGTAACGCGATTCGACCGGTTCGAACGGCGACACGTGCGGATGTCCTCTTTTAGCCCACAACACAAGGAATAGCACTTCAAAAATCTTTGTGTCCACATATTTAAACAAGACAAAACTCCCTTATATCACCAATGTGGGACAATACATTTCCTCCAAAATAGAAAACAAGTAAACTTCAATTTTCCTTAGCATTATTTCCGACATTGCTAACTCATTATTAGAAATTGTCTAATACTCCCTTCGTCTCATAATATAATTCTTATTTTCTTATTTTGGAGAATCAAAATGTTCTTTCTGTTTCAATTTTTGGATAGTATGTAATGACCATTATACCCTCATTTTTTTTAACTTTATTCATTATACTTTTTAAATTACCCTTAAATGTTGCACATGTCTTATACTTTTTCCACTTTCTTTCTCTAACTTTTGTTTATAATTGTACTTTTCACTTTTATTAATGTACTTCATCCACTTTCTCCTTCTATTTCTTAAATACCGTGAAAAAACACAAATAGGAACTATATATTGGGACGGAGGGAGTATAAAACCATCTACAAATTTATTTCGGATAATGTAAAGTCTGATCATAACAAAAGGTTTAAAAGAATGTAGTACTCATTATTAGATAAATGAAAAGGTCATCTTTAATTTTGTTGATCATGATTGAAACCAAAGATCAATTTGTATGCTCTATCACTCCTCCTCACATGAGAGCCCTTTGGCTTGAAGTGTGGATGCAGCATGGACCCTAAACCTAGCGCGAACTGTTTTACTTGAAAGTAGAGGTGGATGAGATTTGAACCTGTGACTTTTTGTATCACACAGACTCTTGATATCATATTAGAGGATCAACTCAACCAAAAATTTAAGCTGATTGTTCCGAAATCGATTTAATTATTTACTCTATCAATAGTTCACTAACGCTAACCATAATTATGTGAAATTTTGTCCTCATAACTTTGTTGATCAAAGGTTAGTTCCAACAGAATGGAGATATATAGAGTAGTAATGAACTAATAAAAACAGTTGGCACCCCAAAAAAGAGTTCCCCAAGTTATGCTATGTACCATTTACATTAGCTTAAAAAATAGAACTCTATATATATATATCACGCTCTACCGTGAAATAGAAAAGATTTTACATATACGACACTTAATTCAATTTTATTTGTATGCCTAACAAACTCAAATGCAATTTTATTATTGATTTATTTCTCTTTATTTCTTACACGACAAAATTGAAAATATAAGAGATCAATCCAAATTATAATATAAAAAATGCTATAAATAGCTCTTAGGGCTACATATAAGGAGCTAAAAATTAAATAAAAATAAAAAATAAAAAATTTGAAAATATTACGTTAATTGCACGGATTTACACTTAATTTTGTCATGCATTTTTAAATTAATACCAAATTAAAAAATACATAAAATGCTTATTTTTAGTCCCATATAACATTATCATTACCTTATAATAATTAAGAAACTTAATTTGTTGCTAATAAGGAAACGAAACAAATATACCGACCTACCAAATCACATTTATAGAAACATTATGATTTAATTAATTAAGTTCAACATTAATTAGTGTGTTTCTCACTAATGAAATCATCATTCATCAACAACCAAGCCGCGGTATCAACAACATAATTAATACATTCTCTTACAATTATAAGTTCATTCGTTCGATCTATGTATACAACAACAATTTTATTTTATTTTAGATTTGAGAAGGAAAATAGTGAGTATTAGTGATAGACTTGGTAGCGTTGATGATGGTGAGGACGAAGAAGATGATGCAAGAGAAGTAGCCAAAGACTATGCCGAAGATGGCCTTGTGGCAGAAGCTATGAAAATGGTCACAGATTGGCATCCAGCCTGATTGTTCATAACCATATTGCGCTACGTACCCTATGGCTGTTGCTGCCGCGCACCCTGCTAGTAATAGTGACATTGTTACCTGCATTATTCACCCCCGGCCAACAACATTTCTTTGTATGTTAGTTTAAGTATATAAACTCGCGTTACTACTACATCACGTGTGTACAATATGTAATTCTATAACATTGACCAGTATGCTCCTTGAGTTTTAACCATATACTACGTATTTTTTATAGATGTATGTGTGTGTTACAATGTATTTTATTGTAAGCTAAAAGCCGCTATATGGGTCATAAGTACATAACTTAGCACCAAAACTCTAGATAAAAAAATTTGTTAGTATATTTCTTCAATCATATTATTGTAGCAAATTCTATAACAAATTGGTTAATCTTTTTTAACCAAGATAACTATGAGTAGATATATGTTAATTTACTACTTATAATAATATGGAGTAAATAGTAGTTTTTTTTTTGGTTATTATTAGTAATGGGGAAATAGGTAGTCTAATAATTAAAACTAAGTAATTTGAAATAGTTAAAAACTTGTTTACCAGATCATGCAAGAAGAAGAACAAATGATGATTAGCTTTAGTTGATGCAATTCGCGGTCGAATGAAGGTGAGGATCAAGGAAAGAAGAGAAAACAGGCTTGCTATTGCTGTTGCATATGCAAAAAACCTGTCCAAAAATAGAACATGTCAAAATTTATGCACAAAAAAACAAAAGCATTCATGAAAATATAAATAAATAAGCCAAAATTTGAAAGTATTAATACTTGAAAGCTGAGGAGTAGCTATATTTGGCTACCATTTGCATTCCAAATATAATGGCAGTTTGATTACAAGTGAATACTATGGAAGAAGCTACTATCGACGTTGCGAGTGCAGCTGTTCTTAGCCCAATCTGAATCACATCAACCTTGTTTCGCTGTTTTATTTTTTGAAGGGTTTCCCCTTGTTTGTCTTCTTCATATGTTGACATTGTAAGGGAGAGAGCACGAGTGAGCGCGAGAGAGAGTGTGTGGGAGAGAATGGGAGCAATGGAGTATGGTTGAAGTGAAGAGGAGTGGGTGCAATGAACAAAGTCTATGGGAGCTAAGATTGTGTTTATATAGAGGAAAATTTTGTGTTTTAAAGAAAAAGTGAGTTTGATTATTTGAAGAAAATTGGAGGATAAATATTAATGAAGTGAAATATAAAAGTCAATAGAATGGGGAAGGAATGGAGAACAGGAGTTAATGTTTTTGAAGACCATAACTAGATTTTAGGAAGAAAATAAAAATCAATTAAGGTGGAGAGAAGAAATTTTTTGTAGGCTAACTAGCTAAATTTTTTTAAGAGCTATTGATGGTAACTTTTTTTGCTATTAATAACACAAACTAACACGTGATTTTGTTCAAAATTTATACACTAAAAAAAAAAAGTATCCCTAAAAGTTGTATATATCAAAATTAATTGTATCTTATTATTGTCCCGTAATTCAAATTTTAGTTACTCGTTTTGTTGAATGTGAAAGGGTTAATAAGAAAAAATTAACACTTTTCGTCTAACGAAGTTAGCTTGTGATTGATTTTGAATATTTTTACACACACCCAGGTGCATGATGCACCCAAGGATATTTTTGCTCATATAATTTTTTTTTCCTAGTTTAAAAATATAAAAAATGAGTAAAAAATATCAAATGAGCGTATAATCACCCTTGGATGTACCTACTTTATATACACCCGTGTATGTATAAAAACTTTTGCTACTATTTACTTTGTTTTAACTAGATATTCTTTAATCGTGATGGCAAATTAGAAGGAAAGAAAGTTCAGAAAAAAAGTACTTCAATACTAAACATAGTAAAGAACTTGCTCACACTATTATTTTATATGTCTTCTTTGTGACTTTCAATTGGTATCGTCAAAAAATAATGAAAATGTCAATATAGACATTAAATACTCCCTAGGTCTAAAATGGGATACCATACAATGATCAAGTCGCACAAATATGATTTCAATTTTAGCGAGTAATGAGCATCTATCAAAATTCACAAACAATCATTTATTGTTTTCTTTTCCTTCATATGGCTGTACCTTATAATTATTGTCAAGACTCAATACATACCTTTTATTGCCTTTTTTTTTAATGGAATAGAGAGGGGTGATTTCATTAAATAATAATATTCATTCGGCACTTACAATCATTCCTTAAGAGATCTAAATTCTCAATACAAGAATTAAACACCCCTAAACTAATGGCATCGCTATCGCTTCTAAACTGCTCCTGGATAATTATTGTCAAGACTCAATACATAGCTTTTATTGCCTATTTTGTAATGCCTTATTATGATTTTCATAAGTGAATTGTTCTCCCTCTCTTTTTGTAATTATTATATATTTTTTTCCTATTATAACGAGCCGAACCACAAGTGGTGAATATAATTCTATCGTAAATTTTAAATGATTATGAATTTGTCAATGTACGCATTTTGTTGAAAAAGAAAGATGATATGGAGTACAAAAAAGAAATATAAGAGTAATAATAATCTTGTTATGGATGAGGTATTGTGAATGCCAAATTGTCAGCTAGGTTAGTTGATAAAGACTTAATAAACAATATTTAAGACTTAAAATCAAATTTGGTCTATATCAAAATTTTTCGAGAATAGAAAAGTTCATGGATGATTATCTTTAATCTTTCAAATCGATGTTTTTATGTAAAAAAAAAAAAAAAAAAAAAAAAAAAAAAAAAAAAAAAAAAACAGAAAATCTAAATCCACTTTGTTGATGTTAGGAGGAATATATTAGAGATATTGATTAATACATGATTCCATGTGAAAGAATAATGTAGTCGCACAATGCTCTAGCTACGTCTCCCACTGCCTTGCCTAAGTGAATAACTGCACAATTACCGTAAATAGGATAGCTTAACAATCGGGGAACTCGTAGAATGAGTAACAATTAATAGCAAAATATTTGAACTACAACTCCTACAAATTGACCATTTAATCTTACCTTTTCCAATTTGATTGTTCCATCTCATGCAAATCTTTTGTTTAATCTTTCTGATTAGTATTTAATCATTTAGCATTACATTAAGTACATAAAATTACGAGAGTATAAGATAAACTATTTCGATCATATGTTACACAACCATCACAGAATGAGACTTAATAGGTATTTTAAAATCGTAGCTTTCTCACTTTCCCTTTATCATCCGCAACCAAAAAAAAAGAGTTGTATTCTTCCTTGACAGCTTGACGCTTGAGGTATAAATTTCTATAATATGATCATGTGATTATGCCTTAAATTTACCATCTAGTATGCATATAGACTTAGAATTTGTAACAGAATTTAGGGTGGTTTGATATGAATACTGCCTATAGAAATAGACAAGTCGTTTCCTTTTGCAAATTGCAATTATACGTTTTGAGAATCAATTATTGAAAGAGATGGTTCTAACTTATTAGTTAGAGTTGGAAAATGACAAATTTTAACACGGGTAACAAATTAGAGATGGTTTAGTATAAACTTTTTTACTTGAATGTTACATACGGTCTTACAATTCCTTTTGATAATATAAAATATTTAGATATATGATGTCATATTACTTATTTAATTAAATAATAGGGTACTTTTTGTAGTTTAGTTTGTAAATATCTATGTTATTATTGTCTTGAAATTATTTTTAGTGAACTTAAATTGTTTTTTTTTTTTTTTTACTAATTCTCTATTATTATTCTTAAATAAATCTAATATATATAAATAAAGTAGGCATTTTTGGATAGCATTCGGTGCGCCACATAAGCAAAGGTATATTTTCGACCAATTAAAAATTAGATTTTTATTTTATTTTGGAATTCAAAAATTCGTTTGCCACCTAAACAAAAGTGACGAAGAAGATTTAAGAAGTTTGCCACGTAAGTAAAAACAACGATAGGATTTAATTTATTTAAAAAAATAAAAATTATCTTTGGGGATAATTTGGAAGAGAAAAAATAACCAACAAAGAGAAAAATTGAATTGGGGGCTTTCTTCAATTGAATTGGGGGTTTTCTTAAAATGGGAACCCTAATTTAAGAAAACCCCCAATTCAATTGAAGCATGAACCCTAAATCGACCCTTATTCTTTCGGTGGGGTTAGTTGAGGGCGGTGAGATGTGTGTGGAGGGCAGTGAAGTTGAAGGCGGTAGTCCGTGGGGTGTGTTGAGGGTGGTGGGGTAGATTGCAGTGGCTAGTGGTGTATGTTAAGGGCGGTGAGGTTGATTATGGTGGCTGTCCAATAAATTAGGGTGAGGATTGGGGTGAGGATTGAAGGTGGAAGAGAAAAGGAAGAAGGTAGGAAGAAGAAGAGTGAAAAAATCAGGGAGATAGAGTGAGAAAGCCAGAAAATAGAAGAAAAAAAAAAAGAAAAAATAAAAAAAGTGGGGCCCACTGACGGAATTTTCACCGGAATTTAGAAATGGGTGGTAATCTGCGCGCTTATTTAATTTAATGGGTGGTTAAATAAAAATAATTTTGTTTTGGGTGGTTATGTCAATATTGGTCTTATTTTTGGGTGGTAATTCACAAATTACCCTTAAGAAAAATATACTTTTGTAATTGGCAATATCATTTTAATTAAATTATTATTTGTTTTTTTTTCTTTTTTGTCTGAAATTATTAAATTGTAAAATAAATCAAATAATTAAAAAAAAAACTTAAAGTATATAGGAAAATATCTTTTCTTGAGATATATGTATGACAATTCGTGCATCGCACGGTATTATTTCAACCAATTAAAAGTTAGATTTGTATTTTATTTTAGAATTAAAAATTTCACTCGCCACATAAGCAAAAGTGACGAATGAAATTTAAAAATTTTGCCACATAGGTAAAAACGACGAATATGATTTATTATTTAAATTAGTTTAAAACTAAAAATTATCTTTTTTCAAAGATGATCTTTTAATATTAGGATTTAAATTAAAAAAAACTATAAATTATACAATTATTATATACAAACACTTTAAAATTAAATATTTGAAAAAGGAAAATATATGTTCATTTTGTTTTTAAGAAATCTTTCAATCAATTTTTTTTTTAAAAAAATAAATTTAAAAGCAATATAAATTATTAATAATTAACTAATATTCTTCAATTTTTTTTCAAAAAAATCAATATTCTTCAAAAAAAATAAATAACAATAACGTTCAGTCTTTATCAATATTCTTCAAAAAAAGAAAAAAAAAATAATAATGTTCAATTTTTATCTTATCTAGCAACCCATTTCATGATTAGATAAAATTTTTATAAGAGATTTATTTGCTACTCCACAAATATATAAGATAGGATGATATTAAAGATTTGTATACATCCTCTCAAAAATATAATTTTGATTCTTTTTTCAATTGTAAATAGACAATATATATATACTATACAAAAAACACAAACATGTGAATATTATTTATCTACACTTTTTCATGGTGTGAATTTTTTTCAGGTCTAATTCGTTGATTAACAAAAAAATTGGAAATAATGTAAGTATATCAAGGCTTTCTGATGGTAAACAATATAACTTGATTGTTATTCATTATTTTATAAGATGTATGTTTTGTTTTATTTTACCTAATCTAATTATGTTACTTATCGTATTAAATTTTGTTAAACAACTTAATTGTAACTTAATATTAATTATTCTGTATTTGAAGGGATTATGTCCATGCGCCAATTGAAAGAAATTATTGGAAAAGTAAGGGTCTGTTCTCTTCAGCTTATTTTCAGTTCAGTTCAGTTCCTAATTTCCTTCTCTCATAAAATATTCAGTTCAGTTCAGCTTCAATCAGTTCAGTTCACCTCAACTCAGTTCAGTAAATCAGAACAGACCCTAAGTCAACTATAATGTTACAATAGTAGGGAAAAAAAATTAAAGATTGTAAGAGATGTCTCTGATAATTTTTAGTTTTTGTGTATTATAGTTTCTGGTAGAATATCTATATTATTATTGTAAAAATCATTGTAGTAGTGTATACATATAACTCTATTATTAAGACATATGATAATGAAATTTCATTATAAAGATTTAATTTTTTTCAATTAGATTAATTTTAGTAATGCAACACTCTTGGTAGTATATATATATATATATTTCATTTAACTATTTAAAAATTTATAAAGTCATATCGTTTACTATTACTCCCACCGTCTTTATTTTAACCCTATTGTTTTGGGTTTACTTTATTAATTTTTCATTGTATAAAGTTGATACGGAGTAAAAGAATAATGGTGGTCTAAGTTATTGTTTGTGAAAGAAAAATAGTAATTCTATAACTATGTATGTATAGTGGAACAACGTGTTTTCGTTATACAAACGAATCATAGGTTAAAAAAATACGAACAGGATTATGATTTTATTTTAATATCTATCATACTTATAATTTTCATATAACTAATATTAGTAAATTAAGGTCGCATTATAAGTTGCATAAAAATAAACAATTCTAACAAGCAAAATAATAAAAAAAATTATAGGGTTAAATTAAGAAAAAAATCTTTTTCATGAGATTTATGTATAAAAAACCGTGCATCGCACGGGCTTCCATCTAGTTAAATATATTATAAATGGATCTTATTTTAAAGATTTTCTTAAAACGAATTTAATGACGGAAATAGAACCGATATATATGATATTTATTAAAAGTTATGATTAATTTTGTATATATGAAGTATTAGAAATATATTGATAGTAAAACTCTACACAACATTTTTATCTTAAAAAAACTATCCAAAATTCACTTACTTAGTATCATGTGTGTCACAATAATATCTATTTTCGCCTACGTGGCGCGACACTTGGTGAAAAACTGGAATGCCAGGTGTCACTGTCTCGTTGCCTACCTACGACACTTGACGATGCCTGGATTGTTGATAAAATTTTAGGATAAATTGTTTGGCTTGAATGTTCATTAATACGATTGATATTATATCGCTTATTTATAAAATAGTGTATTTTTTGTAGTGTTGTTTGTAAATAGATATCTATGTTATTATTGACTCGAAATTATTAAATTATTTTTACTGAATTGAAAGTATTTTTACCAAACCAAAATTATTTTTATTGATTAACAAATTTTTACTGATTCTCTATTTTTTTTTTAACTAACTAAATTAAATATATTATAAATATATCTTATTTTAAAGAACTTTTTGAAACAAATTTTATGATGGAAATAAAACGGAGTTGTAGGATATTTTTTTTTTAAAGTTATGATTAATTTTGTATATATGAAATATTAGAAGATAATAAAACTCTGTACAACACTTTTATCTTAAAAAATCTATCCAAATATCGCTTACTAAGCATCATATGTGTCACAATAATACCTATTTGTCGCCTACATGGTGTGACACTTGGCGAAAAAACTGAAATGTCAAGTGTCGCTGTCTCATGGTCTGACTGCAAAACCGATCTTATTTATTATATTATTAGATAGATTATATAAGATTCAAATTTTGAACACACCTAAAGCCCGATCTAATTTTTTCTAAACCAAATATGGACCAATGTGAAATTGACTCGATTCAAACTTGACCTTGACAAACCCTTTACTCGACTTAAAAGTGACCCAATTTGACCCAAGGCGAGTTAAAAGGGTAACCTTGACCTGAACATACCCGACCCAACCCCGACCATCTTGCAATGGGTCAACTCAAATTCTATTATCGTACCCAAATTGACCTATACAATATTAATGAACCTCTTGAGTCTTGACATAGTGGAGGTGAAAATAAAACTAAACAAGATGATAAATTATATTGGATCCAGCTAGAAACGAAGTTAATGACCAATAGCGGTGTCAAATGGCACTACACATGGAATTATCTAACGAGTATTGTTAGCCCACTGTCAGGTTTGGATCATACCACTAATATAATATATTATTTAATTTTTTTAAAAAGGAGAATGAAAATAAAATAGGAGGAAAAAAAAAAGTTAGTGTGGGTAAAATCTAAGGGCATAAACCACCATGAATTTCATTGGAAAACCATGAACCATTACTAAATGGGGGTAAAAAACTAGAGGCATAAACCACTCAACACATATGAATAGCCAAGTAATTCCATGTCACCATCTTATATTTACATTAGAGCCATGTCACCACTTGTAGCTACTTTCTTTTCCAAAAACAAAAAAATTAGCCCAAAACTCAATCTCTCATTCTCTCTTGACCACTTTCTCTTTCAAACTCTTTCTCCATTGTTACAGTGCTTGAAGCTTGGTCATCAATGACGCCCATCAAAACCATAACAAGAAACGATATATACCGATGCTGCCGAATCAAATTGTGCCATCATGAAAGTTTTTTTTCGCACTTAAATGCTTGAATTCCGACCGGAGGACAGCGCTCGGGTGGAAGCGTACGTCAATCCAACTTCTTCTCGATCCATATTGGATCTAGGGTTCGGTTCTCTTGGCATGCGAAGGAGTACATCTTGCTCTTGGAGATACTAATATCAAATATTCACGATAATATACCTAAGTTTAAAGTACTGGATATCCTGCTTAATTTTAATAAAAAAATTTACTATGATAAATATTTGAAAAATGAAATGATGATTTATTTCACATTGAATTATTCAATACTCGTATGTGAAAGATAATTTCTGAATTTTGAGTAATTTATGAATACACATAATCATATTTGTCAACTATATGCAATAAAATATATAATATAGTCTCACGTAATTTGTTAATTTATCAATAATTTTCATATAATTTATTTCAGTTAAACTTTCATATTTTATTGACTAATATTTTATTGACTTTCAGTTAACCATTCACGCTTTACAGAGTTGTTTAAACTGTTTAAACTTTTTTTTGAATCCTTCAACATTACATCCTATCATCTTACATTTATCACTACCCAACACTACATCATATCATTAAAATAAATCTAAGGTAATGAAAACACAAGGCGTCATATTCAACCGGATTAACCTTATATGACAAGCTTCACAGAAGTGTACCGCAAACACCATGCACCCGTTTAAAGCGGTTAATCCATTAGCTGAGCCATATCAATAAGTGCATCAATCATGGATTTAATTCCTTTTTTTTTCCATGGCTTTGCTTGATATCTAGCATTCATGTTCATATTTTGAATTTCTTCCCCAAAATCAATAATAAGTTCATCATCTACAAACACTCTCAGCCATACAAACGAGAATGAAATGCCAAAATATAGAGGTAAGCTAAAGTAATCGAGAATTTCTTTGAATTTTGTTGGTAAACTATTTTCAATTCAATTAGGGAATAACCTTTCAAACATTTGAGTGATCTAAGACCATCAAAATCAAACCCTTCAAGACAATCTCATTCAGCCATCCAATATAAAGTTTAAAATATTCATCCAATAAATTCAATTCAGCACATAAAATCCATGTTTTCTTTGGAACATTTGGCAAATCACTATATTTTACCTGCTTTTTTGCATGCAAAGCAGGCGATGAAAAAGAAATCTCATCAAACTTGCGCTTACCAGCCTTTTTACCCATGTCCAGCCAATTAAAGAGAAATTAAAAAGAAAAAATTAAAATAAAAAAAAAAAGAAAAAAAAAAAGAAAAAGAAAGTCAGAGATGGCATGGGAGATTAGGAAAAAATTGGTTTTAATAATTCTAACTTTGAGCGACTTATTTTAATAATCCCCACTTTGGATTATTATTGAATATTCCAAACTTAAGGGTATTTGCTTTTATTAGGCCTTGGTGACCGATAACCTGTTACTTAAGTAATTTTTTTTTTATTTCACTTTGACTCCGGTCAACAACTACCAATCACCTCCATGGCAGCCAGATCCTAGCTTCTAACCACCACCTCTCCTTCCCCTTTACCCTTCAATCCACCTCCCCCCTCCCCTGCCCCCGCCTTTCCCAACCACCGAAAAACCCATCTCTCCTCCATGTCGATTAAAAAACCCCATCTCTCTTCCTCCATTGGAAACTCATATCTCACTGCCTCCTATCACAATAACAATAATGAAGTTAATATATTTATCTTTCAAAAAAAAAAAAAAAAGTTAATTTATTTATACAACCATTGCTATCAACAACTTTGTGAATCAATTAAAAGCATCATCAAATTTCTCCCTTTGATGACTAAATTAGATGGGGACTTCAAGTGGCTAAATTATTTCACAAACTTTTTTTCTTTTGAGTTGTTTGAACAGAATTATAGCAAAGTTGAGGGTTGGGTGCAATTTTAGCATAATGGAGAAGTCATCTCTATGTATTGGAATTTAAGGAAGACAAAACAATGTAGTACTGGAGATATTGTTTAGTGGCGATTCAACTTTTACCAAAAGCTAAAATTATTGTTTTTTAAAAATAAAAATAGTTCATTTTTTTCTTCATAAATTTAGAAAAATTTTATTTTTACGGGTAACAACTTGTGTAATTATCTATTCACAGTTAAAAGCTTGTTGCCTACTAACAAGTACCCTCACACACAACAGCTATCACACAACTAACGGCTAAACCTACAACTACATTTTTGCTGAACATGGCCATAAGCTTCTCGTTTGATGATGAGAATTAGAAATGTCTTCTTTTCACTTTATTTCTTAACTTATAATTGTAATAATTATACAATATGAATCGCTCTCTTTGGCAAATATGATGGTGGAGGCTTCATTGTGCATTCATTAAACAAGAAGCCTACTTTTTTTTTTAGGAAAAAAGAAGCCTAATTTTAAAGAACATGAAGCCTAATCATGCAAATATGTAAGCCCTAGCACTCCATTTATATTTTAGAAAATAGAATTTAGAATTTTAGATCATGTTTACATAATTTGCCATAACTTATTACCTATCAAGATCGACTGAAGGATCTTTTCTCTTGTCTCTTGACACCCGAGTGATTTCCATAGAATACAACTCTTCTAAGGAAATTATGACAGCTAACATCAGAAATTTTTGTTTGCCATGGAGCTTGCACAAAGTAATTACGAACATAGGACTGATACTAAAACTACAACCCTAAAGTACAGAATGTCCTCAGACATCAGAAGAATTTTATCTAGTTTGACAAATTGTCAGAGCTGAAATAGTATTAGGAGCCAAATCTTCTGGTGAAAATTCAACTCTTTTAAGAGCTTCATAAACAGGTAAAACCCAAACCCCTTTCCTCTCTCTCCTTTCTTTCTGGATAGAGGTGGGGAACTGAGAATAGGTATAACTACACAGAATAATGAATATTGAAAACAAAGTACTGTACAGATGTAGCAGAATAATGGCTCTGCTATAGAGTTAGAATGTACAAAGTGAGTTACGTACAAGACAAAGATGTTTTTGAGGCGCCTTTAGTTGCTGATGTTGAAGTACTTTGGATCAGAAGGGAAGTGATATTCAACATTCAACTGCAACACCCAAAACAAGAAAAGGCCCTCATCAGAAAAGACATGAAGTAATCATCAGAAAATACTAAACTATCGGGTACATGACATAACTCAGGATAAGTAACAAACTCAACAGAAAATGTGATTATGCCTATTGAGAGATGAGTACACCATAAAAAAGACTCATGCGTCATACCAGAAGATCTGACGGTAAAATGAGACCAAACCGATCAAATTTGAAAACCATCAAATTAAACAGCAGTGTAATTTCAACAAAACCAACGGCAAGGATTCATTTCATAAAAAAAACACTTTCATTCTAGAGTATTAATTTTTATAAAGTATTCATTGTATAAAATTCTCAACCTTTTTGTATGTTCGTTATAAAAAATACTGAAGTACCCAACCTTTCTTTTCCTTTACTCTGCATTTTATTGGCAAAGTTGTATTTGGTTACTTAAAGAGAACAATAGTTAAATTTGCACAAGACTTTGAAAAATTGAAGAAACATGGTCCTTTAGAGTAAGGTAAGGGGATAACAAAATTAATAAATAAAAAAAATTGCCAAATAAGGAATAAGATCAAAGTGAGAGCACAAAAAAAGGGACCTACTAGAACACAAAAAGAAACGGAGGTAGTAAGTTTTATGAGGTTGATATTTCAATCATATGAAGTGGCAAAAGATACTCTCAATGGAGGAAAATAAAAAATTATATTCTTTGGAGCTGCCAAACTCTAGTGTAAAAACAATACATGTGAAACTGTCTTTCTGCATCAAGTGGAGCCTCCAGAACATGAAATTTGCAAATTAGCTTTAATTAAACTACAGATCCTGTGCCAATGATGTCTAAATAAGAATAACATCAGGAATAAACTAAACTTTCAAACTAGCTACAACATTAGTACATTACATTGTCAAAAGCTACTGTCCTACATGACCTTTCAGAAAGATAGATCATTCAGTAAATTTGAATACTTACTATTTATGTCACCTATCATTTATTATTAGATGGGAAAAAGTGTTATTAAATGGCAGAAATGCGGTTGATAAGAAGATGCACCTAAATCAGAATTAAAATAATTCAGGAATAATCCATACCTTGCCCTCATCAGCATCTGATTGGCGTTGAGGAAAGACCACCTTTAAGTCACTATACAAATAAAACCTTCGTTCAGTTTCCATTTTTGTGTTTTTGCTTTCGGGAGTAGATGATATATCAGACTTGCACCTTTGAACAGACCTAGAGGTTTTCTTAGAATGAGGACACATGAATCGCAGATGAAGAGCATAACGTAGAACACCATTGCCACTGGCACTTTCATTAACCTTTAAAGCACAATGTGATTTTTTCCTAGTCAAATGACCTTTGTTCAATACCCTATTTTCCCTTCCTGGAGCCCCTGAAAAGTCGAATTCAGAGGAACAGGGTTCAAGATTATGATGGGATTGGACAGAAGGATAACCGTGGTGACAAAGATCATCAATTTCCACCACTTGCGTTCTCTGGTTTAACAAACTAGCATTTGGCAGATCATTTGAATTGTTCGGCACCACGAAAGGCTTAGCCTTTTCAGATGAGGCAAGAGATGTCTTTTGGCGGAGAAATGTCTGTTGTGAGTAGATGATAGATGCAGATAGAGTAAGCAAATAGATAACATAGCATAAACACACTAGACTACTAGTGTAAAGTAAAAGAAAACTGAAAAGAATTCTGAACAGTCACACAAAAATAAATGACTGAGGTCTACACTAGAGTAGGAGTCCCACTTAAGGGTATTTGCACCCAAACTCTTGGCACGTCACTTTCTATATACTAACACAGAACTTCCATATGAGTCAATGACACAAAAGTGAGACGGATACTAGTTTCCAAAATACAAGTATAGCACAACAATTGTTCTGATCTTTCTCTTCTGAACTTGTTTTCCTTAGGATTCTGGGGCTGTTGATTAATAGGATGATGAGTGAAAAATATTCTCAAATTAATCCATGAAGCCAAATTTATCTTGTAAATTACAACTTTCTTTTGTCTCAGGGTCAGCAGGCAAGCAGACAGCCATACCATGATTGATAATGAGGATAATTGACATTTTGGCAGGTTAACAGAAAGGAGCCCAGTTTCTACCATAAATTGACCATATTTATTCTTTCAGAAAATCAAAAACTTAATGCATTGGGGAAGAAATGAATAGGGAGGATGACAATATGTATGCAACCTTAAAGAGGCTAATAATGGTTAGAGATTGGAAACTAATTGGTCTATTAATCCACACCACAAAATCAAGAGCAAGAGCATATTAGAAGTTTAACCCTTAATGTTTATAAGAATTGAGTATAGATCCCAAACTTTGGCCACTATCACTGACTTAACTGTTATGGATTTGCCTAATGAACCCGTCAAGCCACAATTCTTCCAATATCAACATACTACATTCAGCCTAAAAGATTATCTTCTTAAATAATTGGATGCATATTAGAAGATTTTAAAAACTACAGATAAGAAATGGTATAAGCACTAAGTGAGTAACATAGCATGAGCAAGAAACAGCACACGTTAAGCATACACAACATTATTTGATGTTATTGATTGTTCAAAACTTATTTGAAAATATGGTTGTTTGAATCCAGTCCACAATCTATACTCAGTGAACAAGCTTTCAAGTAAATGAATCAACCAAAAATGGATTATTAAATCAAAAAGTTTAGCATTAAAGACACTAGAAACAACTCTCCATGGCTATTAGCATACTCCCGGAAATTGATTAGCCTGACTGTTACTCAGGTGTGGGGGCAATTTATGAACATTTTTTCATTTTCTTGCTAATAACTAATCAGAGACCAAAGTATGTATTCTTGTTTTTTAGCCTAAAAGAATCATCATTTAGATCAATTGGGGTTGATAGTTTAATTACTATATGCATCAATTTGAAACCTCAAAAAAGATAATTTATTTACACCCTTAAAGAGAGAGGTAGCGAAAGAGCACTTCCCAAACCCCAAACCCAGTACTAGCAACCATACAAAACTCAAAGTTGCTATAGTTCTGAGGTCAGAGAGAGACCTCTAGAGCTCGTGCACCTCACAGGTGAATTGTTGCCTTCTTATCTTTATGCTTCAAGAAAGGATTTTTACCACAGCCCAAAATTTCATTTCTTCATCCTTTTCTAGATCATACTCTAACAATGTCTTCCTTTTGACAATGGTTAAGGCACCAATATTAACAGATTCAAGATGTGCATGTAGAAGCAACTGCTTTGCAGAAGTATGTAATTCTAATAAAGAATACAATAGCTAGAGGACAGGACATCTTGAATACAGATGGATGTCACTTTCATGAAGTCATATTCTAATTCCAAGCCGTATACTTGCTCATTAATTCATTACTCCCTCCTCATGAAGATAATTTTAAGGTAGTTTAGAGATTAATTCTGCAATGATTCAAGGGAGATAGACGTTTGAAAACTGTTGTTACAGGGAAAAAATTAGTAGGTTTTTTTCATAATTTGAACCCACCATCAATTCAGTTACGTAGTTCATTAAAATGATGTTGTTTCAAGATGATATGAGCTACAATCCCAGATTTTAAATGGTTTACTTTAAAAACTGATTTGCTAACACCGTTCAGAACATTCTCTTGGTCCAAAATTGGTCTATGAATTTCCCAATGATAATGATCCTCCCATATGTACAAGTTGATCAAACCTCTATTTACTAGATAGCAGAAGCGCAGTACCTTCAAGAGTTTATTTTCCAGAATAGAAAATTCAATAAATATGTCAAAACTAATAAACAACAAAGTAATATACCTTTGTACCAGATGGCATATCACTCAAATCATAGTTGCAAAGGAAGGTATGAACAGGTGTTTTTTCAGGATTGCTAACGACCTGCAACAAAAAATCCAGTGATAAAGTCAAACTCAAGAATTCTGACACCGAGATCAATTAGCAGAAAAATCATTTTAAACAATAATGAAGATCAGAGTAGTAAAACAATCTACAACTGAATAAAAAATGAAATTGAGGATGAATTCATTATAATTGATCTCCAGGTATCGAAAGATTACATAGCAAACATTTCTTGTTAAAATGTGTGAGTATGTGACATGGGAACGCTAATGCAAAGAAGGAAGCAATATATGATAGCTACTTGAACTGATCGACCTTGTAGACATTCTCATATGTTTGTAACAAATCTATAGAAGTACTTATAATACAACTCAACTATATGAGGATGGAACTACTGGAAAGGTACACAACCCAATAAAAGGAAAGCATTTTATACTCCTAGCTATTTCCTGGTTTGAAGCATGAGATACTGTGATTTAAACCAAAACTGATACCATGGCTACTGATTTTTTCTTATTTTATTTGCAGCAACAGTAAAATGTGAATACAGCACCATGGTCAGGTCATTATGCAACTGAAAATAGAAGATATTCTGTCATGCTCACTGACAAATGACACTGCGTAGTAAACTTGCACCTCCACAATGAACCTAAGGATATTACCAACCACATAAGTTACTTTTTTCTTCCCCAGATATCAAACATACTATTTGCTAAGTGGTAAAGATGAATAGCCTATCTACAACTCAGAGTCAAATGAAGAAACAGAAAGCTTTAAGTCAAACATTACAATCTATTTGCTCCTCAAAACAATTAAAACATACAAAACCAGGGCAAATACCAGTTGAATTCGCCCCTTCATAGGTATACGTAATCGACTTTGTTCTGATGGTGAATCATTAAGACTAAGACTCCTTTTCATTTTTAACTTTCCGGGCTTGCTTGATGGCAAATTTCCAGCAAGGTCTATTGATGAATAATAGAGCAAGTAATTATCTCCATCCACACTAGTAACTGCAAATGGAAGTTTTTTCGCCTTTGGTGAAAAACTTCCACCTGTTATGCTGAGTACTGCAAGGAAGCCATTAATTGTCTGCACATCCACATTTTTAATGAGTCAGAACATGATCATTCAGTAAACCAACTATTAGATGCTGATGTACAAATACAGTTATATTCAGAATAAGAATCTGACCTTGCTAACATATGTGGATGCCAAACGACCAGACAAGAGGGACTCCTCAAAGGAGCCAATCAAAGACCTCCTAACAGGCAAGCCAGTTAAATTCCTAGCTAGTTTTACACTTGGTGAAGTACAAATTGATTCATGAGTCCAGCACTGGGTACTAGCAGCAGATTTTACAGGAGTACACTGATCATCGGCATTATCTAATAGATCAGGCCCTTCCATGGTCATGTCCTCAGTTTTGGGAGAAAACATATGAGGCATACTCCAATCAAGTGAGTTCTCAACCTCCTTGAAGGTTATGTACTTGACATTGGACTCTTTCCTACAATCACTGATCCTATGTACCGAAAGCTTTCTCTGATGAAATTTTGGACCGAGAGGGGACAATGATAATGGAGGTGAAACCCCTGTTTCTGAAGAAACTGAGACTGGTGCTTTCAGAGGCCCTAAGATATCTCCTTTTTCAAAAGAGTAGAATCCAGAATGCAGCAAATAAGATTTATGAACTGGCAGCTGCTTGTTCCCAAGCAAAGGGCCGTCAGTAAAAATGCTGGAGTTGGACCCAAAATTATCATTAGGCGAAGTACTTCCTACTAAAGAGCTAGATGGATACCATATGGAAGCATCTGCAGTACTGGAGCTAACTATATGAGCTTTCTTATGCTCATGTGAACTCCCACCACCATCTTGTGAGTTTCTTCGATAAGCATTATCACCAATGCACAAGGAATCACCATCAAATTTGTCTGAACTCAGCATTGAATTCAATGGAGATAACAACCTCTTTCGCGCAGCAGCTCCATTTGTGACAGTTGCATTACTAACATCAGTCACCACAGTCAACGGATGAACAGAATCAGCTTTATTACTCTCAAATGCATCCTGAGACGTACCTAATATCTGTGATTCAAAACCAACAACCCTCACAACGGGACTGTGAGTAGGGCGTTTGTTCTTAATACTGAACCAGCTCTTTTGATCTGTGTGGCCAATCTTCAAACCACGTGTATTAGAAGTAGAATCTTTATGTACAGCAGTATAATCTGCTTCTTTTGGAAAATCAACAGCAGGCCTCCCCTGGAAATCTTCCAAAGTAGCACATGGAAAACTTCCAGGTATGAAGTTGCTCACATTAGTTCCATGTATTCCATTCATATCATAGGCGCTGAGACCAGACAGTCTTTGGGGAGACTGCACCAGTGTGTTTAGGGATGTTGCAACTTGCTCTGCAGTACTACCAGCTGTCACTTGAGGCAAACCCATCCCAAAAATTGTCAGACTATACTGTTCAACAAATATTAAGATGAAACCTAGTTCAACCCTTTTGGTATTGTCTACCCTGACTCTATACTAAATGCTTTCTATCTTTCTCACTTGACTTTGGACTAACTAAAACTGATTATCCCAAACAACTAATTACTAAAGTACGACGAAATTATAGCACTATACGTTCATTGGTTCTTTGATTTCTATAATGCATATTTACACTATCAATAACTATGATAGCATCTTGTTATCTATCAATCAAACGTATCCACATTCCAAATGCACCTCCTTCTACAGCAAGCATCACATTGCTAAGAAGACCGGAAATAGAACCATTGGAGCTACACATCTTCTCCATGCAGCAGGGAGCAATGACAAAAGAGCAATACATTCTAGAAAATAGTGCCAAGTCCTGAAGACATAAAACCACAAAATTAATCACTTCTAAGGAAAAAAAAAAGATGTATTTCATTGACATCAAGCACCCCAAAAACAATTAGAAGCTGCAATGCACGTATATCTCATGTAATGGATTGTACAACCAAATTTCAAGTTCCAACTTGCATTAATCTGCGCAAGAGATCCCACACAAAAAAGTAGAAAACCCTAAAACGGAATGGAAGGTGGAAAATAGATTGACCCAAGAAAGGAAAAGAAAAGAAATACAGAACATAGTTCTGTATAAATGAAGACAAAACACCACATAACAGGTCACCATCCATACAATAAGGCACATTTGTTAAACTGTACTGCTCCCCTATGCAAATTATATTCAAGAGACAGAGAGGGGGGGGGGGATTGGAAGTAATGAAAATTTACATAAAAATTTGCTCCAAACTCGGAGGAAATCCTTGAACAAGAAGGTCTAATGTAGACCAAAGGAAATATGGAAAAACTTAAACATTGCCCACTCTCCTAGTAGGAATGACAAAGGATCTTGATAAGAAACATCAAACTTAGTAACAATGCTGGGAGAATGATCTCAAAGTACCATTTTTTGAGGTCATCATCCGTCGCTGCTAAACTATCCTCTTTTTTAAGCCACATTGTAATTCTTCCATAGGAGCATATTATTCATCAAACAAAAAGACAACATTGGAGGTAATTAACATTTTATAACAGATTTATCTATATCAAATATATTAGTATATGGCCATATGCAATAATCACCTAAGCTAAAGACTAATAAATTGGAAACCAACTTATCACACAATTTGTCCAACAACGATTTAATAATAACACTACTCCAAAATGCACCATGTTTTGAATGAATTAAAAAAGAGGAATTATGCTATAAGCTAGTCTTTCTACACAAATTGATCATTTTAGACAGCCGGCCAACAAAAGGATGAAGCATTGAAGCATAAATTTAAATTGCAAAAGCAATAGTATACACATCAATTTCTGGAGATTATACAAAATTCGAACACTCTAATACCCACTATAACAGAAATGCAGCTAAAAGCATCAAATATGGCAATGATCATGAACAAATGCAATAACAGCAACATCAGAACATAGTATGCACTGATCATTACTCTACAGCAATCAAATTGACATAATTTGCACTGATCATTACTCTAAAGCAATCAAAATGACATAATCTGCACTGATCATTATACTCAATACCAATTCAAAAAGTGCAGATTAACATCAAAGAAAAATAAAGCAACAAACAATCATCCATTATTTGCAAGTCCAAATTAAGCATACAATTAGTCCAAACTGCTGATTAATTTTAAAATCCCACATCAAATATGATACAATCAAAGTAATTACCTCCTCAATTTTGATCATTACACTTATAGTCATGTTTTATCAACAATCAGATAAAACAATAATTTAAAAAGAATACAGTAACAAATTCTGAACCCAGATAATAAAAGGGGCTGATTGTCAAACAGTTATCATCACCCATTACCAAAATAAATTCAAAAACAAACAGAAGATCAAAAGAGAACGCACCAGTAAAATGAATGATCAAAGAATTGAATTGATAAATGTGAAAAATGAAAACCCCAGATGAAATTTGGGCATAAAATTTTATTAAAAACTAAAAAAACCCAAAAAAAGGGAGAAAATCAATCACACCCTCTTTTAGTTTATCAGAAAAAATTCAATCAATCTATCTATATATCTCTGTTCAATGGTAGAATTTTTTTTCTTTTTCTCTCTCTTGTAGCTGTAAACCTCCCAATGTAAACAAGGTAATGAAAGCGTAACCAGAATTGGGTTGCTATTTAATTTTAGTTTTAATTTCAATTTTGTTTGCTTTGTTTTCTGCTTTGCTTTGAATAAGGGAATAGGAAGGAGGGCCACCTTTGCCACATGGGGTAATTTGTGTTTAAGTTTCTAAGTTGGAGAGCGAGAATGGTCGTAGTGTTGTACTAAACGATTTCAATATCAACAAATTAGCAATTTCAATTTTCTAATTGAGTGATCTTTGTTATCTTATGATTTTGTTGTCTCCGTCTTCAAATATTTGCTTTAGTTTTAAGATTTGAGATCGAATTTTGTGTTCATCTTTTGTTATTCTCTTGTTTTTCTTACCTATATATCGTATGATGGTCAAATTAAGGTATGTGAATAATATACAGATCAAAACAATGTAATTTAAAGTTTTTTTTTTTAAAAAAAAAAAAACATTAGAGAAGCTCTAATCAGTACTTTTTAAGTTTATGTGTGCAATAAAAGCGCAATATAATAAGATCTCCAACTTCAAATACTCTGTACCTGATAGGACTCGAACATTAAATTTTTAAGATATAAAATAAGATTATTACCAAGTGTGTCAAACTTTGCTTGATACTTCAAACAATATATCCATCATAGGATATTATACTATTAGTATAAGTAACAATAATTGTCAAATTAGATAGATTATCAACTTTTTAACAAGGAAAATGTAATACTCCCCCCGTGTTTAAATAAATGAAACGTTTTCCTTGTTCATATATGCCAATGCGCGCAATACTTTGACCGATAATATCTTTAACTATCAATAAATAAAACTATAACAATTGAATTTTAATAAATTATTCATTGAAACGATTTCAAAAAGTACCCACAAAGACTATACTTATTCTTATGTAATAATCACAAACATTAGTCAAAGTGAATTAGATGAATAGTGCAAAAAGTTAAAACGTTTCATTTATTTAAACACGGAAGAAGTAGCATAACAGTCAATCTACAATAAGGTAAGATTTGATTTTCAAACAAAGGATGACCGGGCCATATGGGCTACGTGGTTTACAAAAGAGATTACAAAAGTCACTAAAAAAAGTGATAAAGAAAATCAATAATAAGGATGTTGTTTATCACCACATAAACAATAATGATGTTCACATAAGATATGACCAGAAATAGTAAGAAACTTGTCAAAATACAGGGTAGGGTTAGGTCAGGTCGGGTGAAGAACATTTTTATAGTTTCAAATATTTGCAAATTATTGGTGTTTATTTAAACAGAACTAAATTTGTACGGAGAATAATCTATACAGAACTAGAGATGTATAAATTTCAAGTAAAATTGGTTGAATTCTCTTAAGAAGAATACGTAAGGAAAATAACACTTATGAACTTATCAAATATAAAAGTAAACGGGCAAAGGGTAGTGACATCAATACATAATAGGGCTAAGCAAAACTATCTGAAAATCCGAAAATTCGATAATCCGATCCGCATCCCATCCGAAAATCATGGATACCTGATCCGAAATTGATTTCGGATCGGATATCGGATATCACCATATCGGATTTCGGATATCCAATATCCGAAAAAATTACTTGCATTATTATTTCATTTTTATTTTACGGTTTCAAACTTTCAGTTACTCTTTAGTATTTACCTCATTCTCCCAAAAACCCAAACCCTAAATCCATTTCCTAACCCCTCACCGCCTCTCTCTCTTCTCTCTCCTCTCAAATCCCCTTCACCGCCCCTTTCTCTTTCCTCTCTCCATTATCTCCTCCTCACTGCCTCTCAGATCTTAGTCATCTCACGGTCATGGCTCCCCCCTCCTCCTCACGGTGGCTTCCCTCATCTCTCTCACTCTCGTGGTTGCTCCTACTCCACCAGCGGCGACTTCCCTCAGTCCTCAAGCTCCCACGTATTAATATCTTGGGTGGCTGGTTGACCTCGTTCATTCTTCTTGAGATTCTTGACTTGGTGGGTATTATCCTTGTTGCAATTAGTATTAGTTGTATAATTAAATTAGTAGCAATTAGTATTTATTGTAGCACATTGGTGGGTAATTTGTAAAAATTAGTTACACTGTAATTCCTATTGTATTTTACGATTTTATCTATCGCTTTGTTCTGCTAGGTTTTTTTTGTAACTTTTTTTTGTAACTTTTTTTTTTTTTGTTTTTTTGTTTTTTGTCGTTGTTGTTGTTGTTTGTTTTTGAACTATGGTTTAGGTTATACTCCATAAAACAAAAAAAGTTAAATGTATATTTTGCCTTAAAAAAAATCAAATTTGCTATTAAAATAGCATTTAAATAATATATTTTTAAAATATCCGGATATTAGATATCCGAACTATCCGATCCGTGATCACCCCTATACAAAAATACTAGAGAGTAAAATAATTATTTACTTTATTTGCCCATCTTAAACAAACTTAAATGGCCGGATTGAGTTTGACCCACATGTATTCGATTTGTTCATTTTTGGGTTTTGGTTTTTAATTTCGTATACAAGATTCAATAATACTTCGTATATATGTGTTGATTTTCGGGTTGTGTCAAAATGTGTCCAAGTCCAAGTAAAATGTATGAAAAAAAACATTACCCATGCAAATCAGGTATGATATGATGGCTAAATTAAAATTAAATTAAATTATTCGCATAATTTAAATCGGCAGATGCAAAAAAAAATCTTCAGCATCACATAACAAAATTCTTCGTAGAAGGGAGCCAATAGCCAATGCATGGTTCCTATTTCGGGGTTTTCTGTGTCCTTCGGGAGAGTTACAACACCAAGATTGGAATCCGGATGTTTGTACCTGCAAAACAATGGAGACTCCGATTGGGGGAGTTCCGCCTCCAACGATCAAGTTAGAACCGGAATAGAGTCTGTAAAAAATGCGGAAGCTAATAATCTTCTCGAATTACAAGATCGGGAGTAAATGATCTATAATTAATATGCTCGATTTCTTGTAATTCAATGTGAATGATCCGTTTCCAATGGGGAAATATCTTCTTATTTATAGGGTCTTGAAGTACGTGCCACGTGTCCAGAGGGGATTGGTTTTGGTGAACCACTCTGACACTAATTGGTCCACGTGGCATAGGGTATTTTTACCCTAAACATTTGCCCCTCACAGATGTGACGCGACATGCCACGTGGCATCTGTGACACTTGTCACTCGATCATTAGCTGACGGTAATAACCGTTCGTCTTCCAGGGGAGTTGCAGGGATGCCCCTTCACATTACCCTCATTTATATAACCGTTTAGCCCCTTCATTTGGACATTTTCCAAAGTTTAAAAAGAGAGAGAGAGTCAACCTGCTTCCGGAGAGAATTGTAGTGAAAAACCCGCCTGCTCCTTCCTGTAAACACATCCAGTAAGACGCTTGTGATTGCCAGATTGCACAACTTCTTGAAAACCGTTTGAGGGGTTTACAAGCAATCTCTTTAATTTCCAGAGGCACATACGGGTATACCGTCTGTGCGTCAACTAGTTCAAACTTCCAAAGACCGCTCGAGTACCCCCCAGCAAATACACCTGCTTTCACATAGGGTACATCTGGTCAAGCGCATGTGCCCCTTGCAAGCCAACAACTGATTTTCGCCTGCTAACTCAACCGGTCGGCACTTTGTTTTTTTCAGCTTATTTTTGAGGTACCGTCTCTACCTCCCTCAGCTCTTTCATGTATTTTAGCTTGTGTCTTTTTCTCTTTTTCTCTTATAAAAATAAATCAACAACTACACACACGGCACACCACGATTTAGAGGGCAACCGATCCCCTGGTACGGCTGAGTCTAAGACTGGGGGAGCCGCCTCTGGGTACTGGGATTCCCCTTGTCCATCTCCCAATCCGACCATCTCCGTGTCTGTGCAGGACACTATGGCTCGAACTAGAAAAACGGTTGTTGACCCGGAGTATAAAGGAGAAAGCTCCAAAGAAAGGCCGCCTGCGATGGGTCAGGCTGAGATGATAAGGGAATCTCCTGGAGGTACCCCAAGCACCCCTAGTGATGGAATCTTGGGGTCTGATAGTGGAGGCGGTGAAGAGGCCGCCTCTATCTCTGAAGCTAAAAAAGGAGAACCCTCCAATGAGGGAAATAACAGTGAGGCCGCCTTTAGGTCAAGGTCTGAACAAAGTAGCAGCAACAGCTATCTTACACTAGTGGTAGATAGCGAGGAAGAGGAAAGGCCCACTTGGAACAATAAGGGTGATCCCCTCCAGATCCAGGTCTCAGTCAGAGACAGGGCTAACATGGAAAGTCATCTGAAAAACTTTATCCTCAAACGGCCTCTAGGACCGGGGTATACCATCCGGGTTCTGCCTAAGCTGGGTACAATAGCTTGGGAAGATGATTAACGCAATGCCAACGGGTATTTCGGCTGCTATGAGGTGGCATTTTTAGCCGGTCTCCGCTTCCCTTTGCACAACACAATAAAGGCCATTTTAAGAGGATATGGCCTAGGCGTGTAGCAGTAAACCCCAAACACTTGGGTTAACATCTTAGGCAACATCGCCACTTGCGAAATGCAGGGTCTCCATCCTGGCTGGGAGGCCTTTGCCCACATGCACTACTTGAGTCGGAGTCCAGGCGGGTGGAGGGCATGGTATACTCTGACCACTTACCCCAAATACCTGATGGCCTTAGACAAACCGTCTAAGTGGTCAGATTGGAAGAATCGCTTCTACCTAGTCTCTGCCCCCACAAAACAAGAGAACTTCGAGTTTAGGACCTATAACCGGAAACCGAGTTTGCTAGGGCAGAAGTGCAAGTTACCCGAGGTCCCGGATGAGGACTATGAGAGAATCATAGAGGCGGGGTTCTTTGAACTTACTACCACCACCCTCTCAACCGGTTAACTAATAAGCGTACCCAAGAATTGGGTACCCAAACACAAGTTTCTGAGAGATGAAGCTTTCTTATTCGCCTATGGGTTGGGCACCTAGTTTACTAAACATATGTTGCGGATGCATCCGGCACTATTATGCCGCCTTCGCTACTTTTTACTTGTGAATTTTCTGCGTAATTGTCTAATCAGACGGTTTCTTTTTGGAGTAAACGCTTTAAGGATGCTGCCTGAGAGCAAGACTCCTGCACGGTCCGCTGCAGACATCCGCAAGGAGAATGCGGAAAAGCAAAAGGCTGCACAGGCGGCTAAAAGCCAGGTATAAACGCCTGTCACTCCCCTTTTTGCATTCATCATAGTCTTAATTTACGCCGGCTGACCATAATGACCCCCATTTTTTATTCAGGATGGGAGCAAGGCGCCTCGATCTCTTACAAAGTTGATCAGGCCACGACCGGGGGGTGAGATTGCTGTCCCCAACAAATCTCAAAAGACTTCTGCCCAGACGG